AGGCAGGCACCCACAGAGGGGGTACACGCACGTACACGCGGGTACACGCACGTACACGCGGGTACACGCACGTACACGCGGGTACACGGAGATACACGCACGTACACGCACGTACACGCGGGTACACGCACGTACACGCGGGTACACGGAGATACACGCACGTACACGCGGCTACACGGAGATACACGCACGTACACGCGGGTACACGCACGTGCACGTGCGTGTACCTGCGTGTAGTGCGTGTATCTGTGTGTACGTGGAACACCAGCGAGCGAGAGAGGGGGAGACAGAGAGTGAAAGTGCGCGTATACCTACTAGTAAAAATATAAAACAAGATAAGAATTAAAAGATAAGGGAAGATACAGTCACACAACTAACATTCTAATGAACTGACAGTATAGTAAATCAGAACCATTCATGTATATACATGTCTAGTATATAATCAGGAGTCTATCAATATATTGATAGACTCCTGATATAATCACTAGTATCACACAGAACCATAAAATTATATAATATTATTCTAAACTAACGTGTCACGTGAGATTAGCGGCATGCATAAGTCTATATTAGAAGGGACGGCAGGCAATAGTGAGAAAGCGGCAAACGTGAACTGAAGAAAAACGTATATTAAAGAAGACCTAAAAGCATTTATGAGCGTATATAATTGTTTACGTTGATGCAAGAGGCATATACGTTAAGATTGAACGTTAAATATGCAAAACTACAGTGGTATATGGCATTAATTAAGGCATCACATGCAGTCTATTAATACAATTTTAGTCAGAGGCGTTAGTAGAGGCCGGTTATCTGGCACATTTGCACTATAAAGTTCATAATGGGGTAGGAGGAATTAAATAGGCTGTTTTGCTACCCACATGTCAATGTATTTGTGCAGTGACTTTTAATTTGTAGTGTACATTTTCCTTCTGTCGTTATTGCATCTATTGTACGTCCCTAATTTTTGTAGGGCTCGTTATTGTTAGTATAGTGATCACAATATAATAGTATACAGTTTTCAGCATTTATGTGGTTACGTTTTAGTATATATATGCCGTTCTCGCATAGTAGTACCAGTACTTACCAGAGTACTTACTTGCAAGCCCATGCCATTATTTTTACCAATATATCTGTCGTCATTACATAAATCAATCAATAAATAAATATAATGACAAAAATTTTACAAATATATAAATTCATAACTAAATAAATATATACAGTTCCTGACGGTGGCGGTGGGAAGGGCTAAATTTCGAGCAAGTAATTTTGTGTAATTTCGAGCAAGTAATGCTTCTTACTCTTAGGATAAAATAATTGCTAATGCTATTTTTAAAACTAGTGGCGTAGTGGTATAGTGGCGTAGTGGCGTAGTGGTAATCATATTCATAGATATATAATAAAGATCTAGGAATGTAATATATCAGTCATCACACGTGCGAGATCTATTTTATAGATCGTTCCAAGGGTACCAAGGCGAGCTACTTACTTTTCCTTGACCGCGGCATAGCCCAACCCACCTTTGTTATTATACCTGTTTTAAAATCATTTTAAAATCAGGGCAGGGTCATTTATATTTGAACTTTATTTGAACCAAACCTCGCTATCGGTCGAAAAATATAACTAGCGAATCAGCGACCTAATTTATCCATGCCAAATAGATGCTCACCTCACAATGTTCGCTGCAACATTAGAACGTGCGTGGTGCGCCCAGCTACAGACTAGTGACGACATTGACGCTACTAGACCACACAGACTAATAATATAAGGCATTCTTTTAGTTTAATGTCACTATCACTATTTCAGAATTGTCCTACGTATTTCTGGACTTTGTTCGGCACGTTAACATAACCGTAGCGCCCGTGCACTTCATTCTTCTGAGGTGCAACAAAAGGGAAGTGCATCGTTACGGTGCAAAATTTGGCAGTTTAGCGAATTTTCATTGTGCGAGGAAGTATCGTCCGGGTGCTCTCGCCAACGTTTCGATTCCGAATCGAGTTCTCGCACACTGCTGGACAGTGCGCGAATACACGTACCAACCATACTACAAAAGCATACAACAATGGATACAAAAATCAAGAGAAGTCCAGAGGACGTAGAGACAGAACAGCGCAGAGTCCTAGGTCCGACGATATGGAAATTACAAGACCCTAAGCTCGTTGCGAGATTTCAACGATTCTGCGGCATCATCTCGACGCATTCGCTATCGGGGCAGACGATCGCCAACCGAGCGCAGAAGATCGAAAGTCAGACCGAAGCGAAACGCGACGCGGCGCAAGCCCACTTTGCCAACTTGATAGAAAGACGCGACGACGCCACCGATGACGAGCAATCGGTGAGGAGCCGTCCTGGGGTAGCTGCCGACGCGGAGACGAAGCCAAACGAAACCAAGGTCACGCCGAACGGAACGAGCAGCGAGTCGGACGACGCGAGGTCGTCGGACGACGCTCTCCTCGACAAAGAGTTCATCATCACCAACTGGTTCTTCTACTACCTGTTCTCGTTTGGCGCGTCGCTCGGCAACGGCGTCTTCTACATCACGTTCTTTCCGGCGTGGTTCTGGAACATCGACGGCTACGTCGGCCGCCGCATCGTTCTCGTCTGGGCGCTCAGCATGTTCATCGGGCAGGCGATCAAGGACGTAGTCCGCTGGCCGCGGCCCGCCGCGCCGCCCGTCGCTCAGCTCGAACGCCGCTACGCGCTCGAGTACGGCATGCCGTCGACGCACGCGATGGTCGGCTTCACGGTACCGTTCGCCGTCGTCGTATTCACGCACGACCGCTACGAGTACGCGCTCATCTACGCGGTCGTCTTCGCGACGGCGTGGTGCGCTCTCGTCGCGCTCAGCCGCCTCTACATGGGCATGCACTCTGCGCTTGACGTGATCGCGGGTCTGCTTCTCGCCGCCGCGCTCATGATCGCGCTGCTCCGCTGGGTCGACGCTTTCGACGAGTTCCAGCTGCAGAGTCGGATCGCGCCGCTGTTCACGGTCGGCGTCGCTGTCGCGCTCGCGGTGAACTACCCGGAGCTGGACAAGTGGAGCACGAGTCGCGGCGACACGACGAACATCCTCGGCATCTGCGCGGGAATCTACGTCGGCTCGTGGCTCAACTTCCAGCTCGGCTACATGACGGGTCCGAGCCTGCCGGCGCCATTCCGCATCATCTGGCCGACGTTCCACGACGTCGGCCTTATGGCGCTGCGCATGTGCATCGGCATCGCGATCGCGTGCGCGACGCAGGCGGCGATGAAGGCGTGCACGTACCCGCTGCTGTGCCGCGTGTGGAACCTCGACCGGCGCGACCCGCGCTCGAAGCAGCGGCTCATCGTCGAGGTGCCGTACGGCTTCCTCGTCTACGGCGCGATCGCGTTCAACGTCGTCTTCACGGCGACGCGCGTCTTCGCTATACTCAACATCGAGCGCGAGATGTGGTACACGGAGATTTAAGCTCAGCCCCGCCAGGGTGCGCCATCTGCTGGGTGCGGTCGCGCGCGGAGATCTTGTGCGACCGCCAGGGTGCGTCGCCTGCTGGGTGCGGTCGCGCGGAAATCTTGTGCGACCGCCAGGGTGCGTCGTCTGCTGGGTGCGGTCGCGCAGAAATCTTGTGCGACCGCCAGAGCGCGCTGGTAGCGCAGCGAGGTGTGGTATGTCGAGATCTAGTGCTGCCCCCCACACTCGACACTTCACACATCAGTAGCACGCACATATCTATGTGTAATAACTGGATAGTGCATTGCACGTATTGTGTGATGGATGTCATTTGGCCATCATATAATATTGGTTAGCCCAAGTGTTGAATTCCTAATTGGGATTGACAGTGAGGAGGTTAAGACATTGTTCCACGTCACATTGCTGTATTAAGGTGCTTAAAACCGATTCTTGATCGACAGATATGGTTTCGTGACCTCATCTGTTAGTATTGTGGTGATAACATAATGCACTATCCATTTATTATGTACATAGATACGTGTTCCACTGAACCTTAGTATGGGTGGCGGCATTGACGAGATGTTCTTGTGTTCTGTTATGGTATATTTTGTCCGAGGACGCCACAGTGGTTACATATCGAACGTAACTCACGCATGACGACACATGACACGATGTCATTCGACGCGAGTCACTGTGTTCGAAGTGGCTACGGTTAATGGAGATCTGATGACGACTTTGCAGGCAAAGTCGTAAAACGAATTGAGCCAAGTTTTTGAGATCATCCTTCGTCCTCGGTTAGCAACACGACAGCTTGCCTAACGACATGATACTACCGTGTTTATAACGGTACCATAGCGTAGCCCTCTTTACTGGTGTAATTTCTGTTTCCCAATTTTTATCAGTAGTTCAACGCTATTCCACTGTGATTGTTTAGTTCCTGCGCATGATTCTACACTTCTATCTTATAAATGAGAATTGCCTAATGTAGTAATGGAGTTGATAATATATCTAACAAAAGAGTTTCTATCTCGCATATACCCTGTTCATTCTAATATTCCTGTGCTACCCTTGACCGAAAGTAAATTCGCTGCGATGTTATAGATACTTTGTAGTTTGCAGCGCTGTCCTTTGGAAAATTGACCGAGTGCGTGTTGACAAACTGGACTCAAGCAATCTACCAAATTGTGATCTCTACCTATTAAATCACAGGCCTACAACGATCAGCTACTAGGTGGTATACAGAAGACAGTTATACTCATGTTGAATGTATTTTTTACTAAATGTATTGCATGTTATAGGTAATATTGGGCCACCCTTAAAAAATTGTTTGTTTTCCCTTTACCTACTCGCCTCTCAGGGTACCGAGTAGGTAGGTAGGTGAAAAATCTTTGTTATTTTGTTTTGACAAGATGTGTGTATGTATATTGTATATTCTGTTTTGTGTATATGTTTTTGCGGCACGAATTAGTTTTTTTCTTGGCGAAACGAAATAATTTTTCTTTTGTTTTAATCGGCCAATAAAATGTGTCGAGTAGCGGCGTTTTGGCGAGTCGGTCGGTAAAGGGGAAACAAGCAATATTTTATCTTAGGCCTTGTGCTATTAGGTTTATGCTAAAGCTTGCCAGTCTGCCCTCTGCCCTTTTTACACTATCCTAAGTATATGTTACATGTACTCCATAAGTTGTTACCCTTATGAGCAGGTCTTTTAAATAATGTTTTGTATGGCATAAATGCAGCATTTTTTTGTAAATGTATCTTGTTTTACAGTTAATTTTGTTTCCGTTGCAGCTCGGCTGTGGAAACAATCACACGTATATTTGCTTAATTTGCTTGCATTTAAAAAGCAAACGGTGAACATTGCATTTCGCGTGTGCAAAAATAGGCCATTATTTCCAGATTCAGCGTTTTGTGCTGTATATATGTTTGTGCTAAGTCTTGATACACGTCAAGAGACGTGTTGATCAATACATGCAATTAGAAATGTAAAGCGGTTTTCTCCCTTTTAGTCCGAATAGTCGATGCGTGGCATGAAGGATTTGAAAGTGATATTATTGACATGCGCACAAAAATATGCTCTTGTTGCGAGTCTTTCTGCCATAACGAATTTATGCACGAACCAGGGAAATATTTCAGATGGCCCACTTTGGTTGGTAAGGATGAGGTTTTTTACCTTTGATATTGAATTAGGATATTATATACCATTCTGATATTGTTACGCGATTGTCATCCCTAGCTCTCTTCAGAGACCTAACAAGGTAACTGCTGTACTGTTGTGGCCTATTCAGCTGGGTTACCTTACTGCGTCTACCTATACAGCCCCTCATAGTCATGTGGTGGAACAAAGGGCGGCGTAGGTGGAGTTAGTATTAGATATAATGAGGTCTTGATGCCATACTAACTTGATGCCCTAGATGGTTAGAATTCATCCCTCGGAAAGCTGTTGCATCGTGTGCAAATATTGCTAAATGTAAGACCAAAAGATAGTATATGCGCATCACCTGATCGACCGTATGATTTTTCCTAATGCAAATAGCAAAACTGACCTTCACTGAACCTTACTGACCTTAACTATTAATAGAGGGCTCTGACGTAGGCAGCCTATTGAGTGTGTTCGGCTGTCAGTAAGGCTGGTCAGTTGGGGGTAAATTTTCCGTTCATTGTAATTCCAATGCTTTGTATAGTACTGCTATAAATATAGTTTAATACATTGGCATCCGTTTGTTACGGAAACTCGTGCATGGGCATTTAAGCTAGAGAGTAGAGGTGTGGAACTTGCATTCGACGGCAATAGTTAAATATCATATTAGTCTTTTTAAGCATGTTCATGCATTATTACCTTAAGGATCTATAATGTTATCCCGTTTATCATTCGACAGCACAATCAGAAAGGGTTTATAGAACGTTGTTGGCTATTTTACCCTGTTTACTCAACAGATGGCGCTGCAGTGAACTTATGAGGCGTTTTTATCGAAGCGAAACCGGTAAATCGGTTTCCTAAATCACGTGATCAGAGGTTTGGTGAAAGCGCTTTTGTTACATAAAAACAACGCAAGATGGCAGACCATTTGGTTAGGATTTAGCTGATCTTTGTACGTTTTTATAACACATTAACTTATTATTCTTATATAATCATTTATTAAGAAAACTACTTAATAACTTACGTTTGACTATCCGCCATATTGAATGTTGAAACCGTCTGAAATCGCTCGCCGGGCGGTTTCGACGGTTTCGCAAAGCACTTTCGCAAACCGTCTAGATAAAAACGAGAAACGACCAAAGCGCTTTCACGAAACCGTCTAGATAAATGGAAGATTTGCAAAACCGTAAAGCGCTTTCACTTCGATAAAAACGCCTATGGAGTTAGTGGAGTTTGAGGTCGTTTGTCTGTACGTACATATGGCGGTGCTAGCGGTGTGGATTACATCGAAAATGTTCGTTATTATTCTACGACTGAACGAGTAGACCCATTTTTCTGCGTTTTAACATCAGATGTTTAGAGCGCAGGCGTGTGGCCTGACCCTTGCACGGTCGTGGCCAAATTTGTGTCGCGTAGAATAAATGATCTTGCTCTTGAGAATTGCACTTTATCTGCACTGAACCGAAACCGATGACCGATGTCGTACAACTAGGAGATAAGACTGTTATGTCCACCTAGTGCAGTGTGTGCTGTTGTTGGTACTAATGACGTCATTTCGTGTTCGAGAGCCTTTACCGATTCGTAGCTAAAATGTAGAGTTTTTTAATGTACGTGTAGTACCTTGCTCTTGAGAATTGCACTTTATCTGCACTGAACCGAAACCGATGACCGATGTCGTACAACTAGGAGATAAGACTGTTATGTCCACCTAGTGCAGTGTGGGCTGTTGTTGGTACTAATGACGTCATTTCGTGTTCGAGAGCCTTTACCGATTCGTAGCTAAAATGTAGATTTTTTTAATGTACGTGTAGTACCCACATGCACGCGTGGTATGTGGAAGATCGACATCTCATTCGCTGCCGATGCTTATCTTCTCAATAGTTTACGTTTTATTCGGCATAGATCACTCGTTTTAAACCGCGTTATGCCAACTTATAGAGGACTTTCAACGGTATATAAACTCGGTAGGTTTAATTCGATACATTGGACACGTTATTAAATTTAACAAATTACAAATAAAACTGTTGAAGCGAAATATACACGTGAATTTCTGCGTATTGTATTTATAGTGTTCACAAGGCTTATGTAGTTTATTTACAGTGATTTACTGAAAAGTTCAAAACTTCAAACATTTTGTTCAACATCCTAGCAATTTTGCTTTTAAATATATTTAAATTGTATTTTAAATAGAATACATTTATTACTTATGTACATGTATACATTACGTAAATGTACATGGTAATAAGTGTATATTGGTATATATATATATCTCTATATATATATGTGTGTATATATATATATATATATATATATATATATATATATATATATGCATGTACCATATCAATATATATGGGAATATACGTAAATATCTTGTTCGTGTGATAGGTTTATTCTAATTACAAATCTCTCTATAATCTATCATATACCACCGCGATTATAGAGTTGGCAATTGCAAACTATTCAGAATCGCTGCATGTCGAGATTTGTACGTTTCATCTTTTTAGCAGCGTTCATGAAGAACGGTTCCGATTACTCTAGCTACCTCCCCCCCACCCAACCACACACACACACACACACACACACACACACACACACACACACACACACACACACACGCACAAAATCCAGAGAGACATGATACAAGATTGCGTGGCACAGCTTTGCTGTTGGTCCTGAGCGCTGCGCGCGGATCAGACGCGCAGTTCCGCGGGATATGCGCACGCGACCGCGGGGATGTTCAAGTATGAAGCGCTGTCCGCAGTGGAGATGTGCGCCAAATCTAACGCTGGCTCGTGGAAACTTTGAACCCAGTGTTCTCTCCGAGGCACCAGTCGGATGTTCTTGAATAATTAATAGTTTCCATCGCAACACATGAATTGCGTTAGCGAGATGGAAACGGCAGCGGCGCTTGCATGGCGCGAGGTATAAGTGCCGTGGATTCGTAATAACGCCGGCACTGCACGCGTGCGAGCGAGCTGGCGTGTGTCATAATCATAAATCAATTATGGCTGGAAATAATTTATGTGCATACATTCGTACCTTTACACCGCGTTCCCATGGCAGAAAAATATGCATGCACTTGCCTACTAGCCTGGATCCTTGCGTATGCTTGTCTGGGCGCGAGCGTGTGTGTGTGCGTGCGCATGCGAGTGCGTGTGCGTGTACGCGTGTGTGCATTGGCGTATGTGTATGAATATGTGTCTGTGTAGGTATGCGCGCATAAACTCGATTGCCATTGTATGTTTTGGCACGTCAGCTATCGTGAAGCCTCAAAAAGTCAATTATGCGTACACAAAGAAGTCAATGTGCGGGAGACAAAAAGCTAATCTATATACTACCCGACAGTATTTAAACACGCCCGCTTTGAAACGATATGCGTACGTTAATGAAAAATCGGTAATTAACATATAGTCATTGTGATTGTTTACTGTAGCGTGGTATGCCGCTTCTATGGCATTCGCAGACGAGACGTATACTTCCCTATAGTTAGATCATGCATCGGGCAGAGATCTCTCGCGTTTACATACACTTGGGCTTGCATAATGAACACATAAGTAATAATAACAACAAGAGCCGCAGAGCGTCTGGGCTCATCTGAGGTCTGTTGCTACGGATATAAACGTAACATTTAAGTCGTGCGTAGTGACACCTTTGTTAGGCGCAGATATGCAGATACGCAGTTGCGTACACATAATTTCAGCAACCTACTGCATTCTGAATACCTCCCAAATCCCATTGGTTGATACAAATCGCGTGCCTGAAACTCCTGTTTTATGGTGCATTGTGACCCTATTTTTTAAAAAAAAGTAAAAATTATTTGTTGTTATTAAATTGTTGTAAATAAATCATGTAAATATTTGCGTTAATTGGAAAAAAATAGTTAAATGGATAAAGATAGAAAAATACAGAAAACAGATAACTAATAAGAAATCAGATGGGATTCGATCAACGACCTTTGAGCCGTGACGCCTGTGCTGTACGCGTTTGGCTATCCAGGCTTATTGGGTTTCTAGATTATGGATGTGCCATGAATATGATAACACTGTGACGTCATTGAGGCAGTTCAGGAATCCATGTTTAACCCTCCTCTTGAGGGTCAAAAGGTTATGAGACACTTACTCTTCGCATGTCAGTGGAAAGCACATTTCATGGTCCTTTCAATAAAGTCATAAAAATGGTAGGTCAGCGCTGAAACAAAAAAGTTTTTCACTCTGTCCGTTAGGCCATGTCCTCAGAAAATGTCTGATATCTGACCTTTCCCCACGGCCCTTTGACCTGTGACCTCCAATTTCGCACTGGTGATGGGTTTCCTGCCCATCACACTATACACCGAATATTAAAAGAATAGGTCGAGCCGTTGAGATTTGTGCCGCAATTCCGTATTTCCTCCTATACCTTAAGTTAAGGGGGAAATATTTCCCCTCCGTTTACACATCTTGACCTTTGACCATTGACCCCAAAATTGGTCATCCCGAGTCCTTTTCACGATCCCCCCGACGTCCCGAATATCGGGATCGTACGTCGAGCGGTTAAGATTTGTGCCCAACTGTTGACGGACGGACGTACGCACGGACGGACGCACGGACGGACGCACGCTCATGCGATTCTACAAGCTGCATCTGACTACGTCAGGTGAGCTAATAATTATAATAATAATTTGCCCCTTAATAGTCGTAAAGGCTATCCCCTGTTATGAATCACAGTCGATTCCGACAGTTTTCCTCTCTCTCTTTTTGTTCTCCACTCCCCTAAGCAACCCACCAGCATGGCTATGTATGTTCTCCTGATGTTATATATATATATATATATATATATATATATATATATATATATATATATCAGAAGTAGATAATAGGGAAGGAGCGTGACTTCAATAAACAAGGGAAATTCGTCATTTACTAGCCTTAGAATACCTACGATTTACTAGCGTAACTCAACAGACTTGAGCTCAAATCGTACACAGTACATTCGCCTAGCATCGTGCGAAATCGTTTCCTCGTATACACCCGCAATCCGGAGATACAGACTAAAACGTACGACACGATTCTCCATTCTGTTGCCAGCAAACCGAATCCATAACCCGCCTAACTTGAAACAATAGGCAGCTACTAACGACTCTTGCGCACTACGTATATATTATTTCTAGTACTGCATACCCCTATATCTAAATTACTGTTGATTTTAAATCGAAGAGAAACGCTTCTAGGTAGATGAAGTAGTGTCTCTTGTCTGTTTACTGTCTTGTGTTCCTTTGTCCGATGTTTGTTTGTTGTTCACCTACCAGGTAACGCACCCAGATAACACCAGCTATCGATTAACAACTATATCATATGCTGCTATATACGCTAATGTATGTCATCGTTGCAGTTAATCGTCAGGAGTTGTAACTTGTTACGTATGCGATGGCTCTGTGGTTAAAATGAACCATCAGCTACTACATTATTCATGATATTTACGCGGTATATAATGCTTCACGCAGTAAATCGGAAACGATATCATGCTGAAAATCAGCGAGCTAATAACCCTATCATGATTATGATCGCGATGCTGCGTGCGATCTGCGTGTGTGATACACACACATACAACACACACACATACACACACACACACACACACACACTCGACGCACATACACGCAACACACATACCACACACACAAACACACACACACACACACACACAACACACACACACACACATACACACCAGACACGCACACAGCGCACACACACAGTACACACACACACACCACACACAACACACACACACACACATATAATACACACACACACACACACACACACACACACACACACACACCACATATATATACACACACACACACAACACACACACACACACTCACACACACCACACACACCAGACTAGAGGACGAAACTCGCCAATATTAAATTTGAATAATTAGCGCATTCATACCGTATTTCACGTAGAGACACTATATAGCATCGTAATTATTGTAGGCGGTCATTCATATTTCACCACCGTTTGCATGCATTATGCATCGCAGCGCACATACACACGTGTAGGCGATAATGTGACCTGTGGTCAGGTGCGTGCATATGCCCTCCGGCGTGGGCATGCACATGGCAATTCTTCATCCCCCTTCTCTTCTTTCTCTCTCTCTCTCACTCTCTCTCTCTCTCTCTCTCTGTGCCTCCTCTCTCTCATCTCCTCTCTCTCTCTCTCTGTCTCTCTCTCTCTCTCTCTCTCTATCTCTTTCTTTCTTTCGCTCTCCCTCCTCTCTCTCTCTCTCTTCGCTCTTCCCCTGTCTGCTCTCTTGCGCGCTCTTTCTCCCTCTACCTCTTCCTTTCTCTCTCTCTCTCTCTCTCTCTCTCTCCCTCTCTCTCTCTCTCTCTCTCTCTTTCTCTCTCTTTCTCCTTCGCTCTCCTTCCTCTCTGCTCTCTCTCTCTCTCCCTTGTTCGCTCTTCCCCTATCTCTGCTCTCTCGCGCGCTCTTCCTCCTCTACCTCTATCCCCTTCTTTTTTTTTCTCTCTCTCTCTTATCTATCTATCTTTCGATCCCGCTCCTCCTTTCACTCTCCCCCCCACTCTCTCTTGAGCTCTCTATAGGGCGCCTAACCTCTCGTTTGCACTCTATCTCTCTTAGATATAGTGAAGTAACCTTCTTGTCTTTGACAGAAAAATGTTCTACATTGAACGTGCGATAACCACATTGTTACCAACACAAATATATCACAATATATAGTTGCAATAATATACTACAACTATACTATAGTAGCGTCATATTTTGTCTGTGGTAGTAATGTTATAATAACCGCAATCGTTCGCATCCCCATCAGTCACCTCATTAGGAATTTAGGAGTATATTAACTTTTTTTCGTCGTAAACGTGGACTTACCACTGTCACTGTCTACTCTCTTTAGACTCTCTCTAACGGTTCTCTCTCTCTCTCTCTCTCTCTCTCTCTCCTCTCTCTCTCTTCATTCTTTAGACCTCTCTCTAGACGCTCCTGATTTCTTCTTCCTCTCCGCCCTTTCTCTCCTCCTCTCTCTCTCTCTTCTCTCTCTCGTCTCTCTCTTCTTTCTGTCTAATGTTCTCTCTCTCTCTCTCTCTCTCGCGCTCTCTCTCTCTCATCTCTTTCTCTCTAACTGTTCTCTTCTCTTAGACCTCTATCTAAACGTCTTGACTTTCTCTCTCTCTCTCTCTCTCTCCTCCTCGCTCTCTAACTGTTCTCTCTCTCTTTAGACCGCTATCTTAAACGCCTAACTCTCTCTTTTAGACCGCTATCTAAACGCCTTAACGTCTCTCTCTCTCTCTCTCTCTCCTCTTCGTCATCTCTCCTCTTTCTCCTCCTCTCTCCTCTTCTCCTTTCTTCTCTCTCTCTCCTCTCTAACTGTTCTCTCTATCTCTCTCTTCCCTCTCTCTCTCTCTCTCTACTCTCATCTCTCTCTCCTCTCTACTCTCTCTTTAGACTCTCTTACTCTCTTTAGACGCGTCTATCTTCGCGCTAATGTGAACGATCTCCCACCCACACCTGATCTACATCATTCTGCATCGATTACGTCAGTTCGTCATGATGTCGATGAACCAGAACTGACACTCTGTGCGGGAGGGAGGAGGCTACGTGGTGTAGGGGTACTGCTAGGCAGGCTGCTGTAACCCTTGCAATCGATTTCTCGCGGTGCTTGGCACCACCCGATGGTGGGTTCCGGTGTTCTGCTGCTGCAGCTTCTCCGGTGGTGGTGCGGTGCATGGTGTGTGTGTGTGTGGGATGTGATGCTAAAGCCCACCGATCTACGTCACCCTGCGGATAGAGAGGAGAGGCCAGCCGTCATTTTGCAGAAGTCGAATGGTACGTACACGCAGCGTTTGCGAAGAAGTTGCGCAAGTTGTGAAGGTGAGGGGGCTGAATCTCTCTCCCCCTTTCTCGTCTTTAATATAATATATATGTGTGTGTGTGTGTGTGTGTGTGTGTGTGTGTGTGTGTGTGTGTGTGTGTGTGTGTGTGTGTGTGTGTGCGTGCGTGCGCGTGTGCGCCTGTGCGTGTGTATGTGTGTATGTGTGTATATGGGTATGCGTGTGTGCGTGCTTGCGTCTGTCTGAGTGTCGGTACGTGCGTGTTTGCGTCTGTGTGCCTGTGTTTATGCTGCATAGAACTGATTTCTTACTTGAATTGCAGGTTACGCGTACATTAGATTTCTTAGATCTAGCGGAATTATGCCGTTTCTGCTTACGCCGAAATTCTCATTTTCATAATGTATAATTGGGAAGACAGACATTGCTCTTACGAGCGCAGGGGATTAGCAATTAAAACTGTAAAATTGTTATAAGGTACTGCATTAGCGGTTTATGTTCGTCCACGTTGAATATTGGTAAATTATTGAACAGCTGACACATCAAATTTCTTACGTGTCACGTCATCCTGTGTTACGTCATCATGTGTTACGTCATCATGTGTTACGTGTTTCCACTGTGATATCTTACTCGGCGTGTCTTTTTCTTCCTTGTCTGCTTCTTCTTCTTCTTCATCTTCTTCTTCTTCTTCTTCTTCTTCTTCTTCTTCTTCGTCCTCACCTCTTTCGTCTGCCTCTTCATTTATATTGTTTCTCCTTCTCTGGTAATTCAGCGCTCAAGGCTACTATACTCTGTAAACCACATTCTGCTTCCGCGTAATAATGCGAGTTTTCAAGTAATAAATGTTAAATAAGTGCTTTAAAGAAGTGAACTTAGAAATCTGCGGCCAAATGACCTTAAGACGGATTTAAAAAAACATGACACCCGCACGTGACATAATTGGTTACGATGGACCGTGATTCGCGAACATAATTATACGGTATGCGCGAGAACCTTTGGTTCCTTTCATGTAACTAAGATGGTACAAATTCTACGTAGAATCTATCCAGCATTCGTAACACAGCAGCAAACTAGCACGAGATATCACGAAGGCTAACTATACAATGGCTCCACCAATAACAACGTAATCGTATTGATAAGATTGTAGTATGTATTATGCGTGCAGCCGTACTCATGATCAAATCAATTTTACAAGCGAAGACGGGATTACCCCACATTCAAGTAGCGAGGTCGATGCCCCCACGAGAAATCAAAGGCTTTGCAAATTCCCTATACGCTTACTGTAGGTGCATTTCGATGAAAAAGAACGGCTTCTACCTTTATCTGTACGACGAAAAAACATTGGCACCGCTAAATTATCGATGAGCTGGCAGTGGGGCGCAGTTGAAGACATGTCAAAAGTCTCGGCGTTTGAAACAAAACTATAATTGCCACAGCGGTGCATTTCGCTCACGTTAAAGAGTAAGTAATGTTACAGCGGCCTGCGGTGTCGAATCGTTCAATTGTGTTATGTCGTTATATTGTTTTATATTTATTTTATTTTCGACCAGCGGTGTGCATCGCGCAGGGTTAGGGCATTTGTTTAATCTTTCGATTGT